AAGCGAATTGAGTGTTGAAGGGGGGGGGGGATCCATGCAGAACAAAAAAGAAAACCTGCATGGTGAAAGTGAGCCAAACCCAACGCACATAATAGACCCTAGTCATTATATGTCTGCAGTCTGGAAATTATTTGGTTAGCCATGTACACTCTTGGATCCCAGCTAACCCTCCTAGCCATAAGTGAAATCCCATTCTTCTCATAGACAGGCTGACATTCAGCTTTATTCAGATTCCGTCCCAAAAGCAGAACCGGCTGTCAGTCGACTGCGCTCTCTGCCCATAAGACAAAGGATCCAAAATGCTGCAAGTTCATAGAATGCCATTTTCCTTCCTCCAGCTGCAGTCCATTGTGTCCCTTTCAATTCTGTTCTGCGGTCAGGAGATCTTCACAAACAGCATAGGGGGTGCAAGTCTTGGGTGGGTGGCAGTGTTCCCTCTAAGCTGAGCTAGTGTGAGCTAGCTCACAGTTTTTGAGCCTCTGGCTCGCACATCTTTGTCTTAGCTCAGGAAGGATGGCTCCAGAGCAAACTAAGTTATGCAGTAGCCAAATCGCTTGCTCACAACTTTAATGTCGGTAGCTCACAAAGTAGAATTTTTGCTCACAAGACTCCACAGCTTAGAGGGCGCATTGGTGGGTGGTAATCAGCACAGATCTTCTGTTCCACTGGCATCAGTGTAATTATGCCAGCAAAAGGGTCTCTTTGGATTTAACCCACTCCACTTCCCCTTCACATTGGAGAGACTGCACAAATCTTGCGAACCTCACTTGTATGCTCAAATCCGAACAGTTTCCCCATTGATTTACTTGGAAACTTGGGATACGATCCAGATGAGTCTTAGAAGCGCCTTGACTTTGAGTAGATTTGTGGCCTTGAATTTATGTCGACTGATCTGAAAACTTGGATCACTATATACCATACTACTTTTCATCTAAATTAATATTTGTTGGTATCTGTAAATATACAGATCTGTAAATATTTCAGCATATTTCTCCAATAGTACAGCAGAATATGATATAGCCATTTGCTGAGGGAAGGGGTTCTTTCAAACATCTGACATTAAAAATGCGCAATCTGGAGATATGTAACATGCTGGAAACATCTTCATTTTAAATTGCACACACTGCTAATCATTTTTTTCCTGTTCACAGTTTTTCTAACGGCTCCTTAAACTATGCCAGACATGAAGAAACAGCCAACGACAATGGACCTCCTTACCAGATTTTCAATGGCTTTGGTGATCACGTCTTTTATCATAATGTGGTGCAGCTTATAGTGTTTGCACAGCTTTGCTGAAACGGATGTTTTCCCTACTCCTGGAGGACCAAGTACACAAATTTTGACTGGCTGGGGGGAAAAAGGATGATTTCTTTAAAAATGGCTTTTGGTAGCAGCAGTGAATGAGTGAGTGAGTGAGTGAGTGAGTGAGTGAGTGTGTGTGTCCAGGACTAGCAGCAAAAGATATGGCTAGATCAATCAGGCACAATGCATATTACACATTATTTTGGACCATCAATTTGTAAATACTGAACAGAAAACAGATCTCAGTTTCATAAACAAACATGAGTGTAGATCAGGTGGACAGCCATTGTAATGTCTTGTGTCCCTCACAGCTATGTTGGTGTATGTTTTCATGAGTCAAAGCTCATTCTCAGAAGCTTACATCCTGGAAACCTTGGTGGTCTTGAAGAAGAAGAAGAAGAGGAGGAGGAGGAGGAGGAGGAGATTGGATTTATACCCCGCCCTTCACTTGGAGTCTCAGAGCAGCTTACAAACTCCTTTCCCTTCCCCTCCCCACAACAGACACCCTGTGAGGTGGGTGGGGCTGAGAGAGCTCTGACACAAACTGCTCTTTTTCAGGAACAGCTGTGCCAGAGCTTGTGACTCACCCAAGGTCACATCAGCAGGTGCAAGTGGAGGAGTGGGGAATCAAACCCGGTTCTCCCAGATTAGAGTCCGCACACTTAACCACTACACCAAACTGGCTCTACTGGATCTGAATCTTTCTCAAAAACTGTGAGTGGGACCCAACTAGCTCTTCTGCTGGTGAAAAAAGGGCAGGGCCATCTGCTTGGGGAACATGGAGGGGAACATGGAGATATGCATGAAGAAAAGCCACGTGTGAAGTGGGTTGCTATAGAGGGGGAAGTGGGCAAGAATGAGTGGAAATGATGGCTGGATCCACCCCAATGCCTGTCTGCAAAATTTTCAAACCAAAAATGCATGACAAATAGACCGCTTTTACCAGTAACCCTCGACTTTGCTTGTACTCCACAATAACTTGATCAATACTCTCCACCAGTCCATTCTGAGCGACCCACTTAATGTTGAAATTCTCTTTCAAAAACACAGCTTCCATTCGCAGATTCACAAGTAGTTCATCCAACTGTGGTTGCTAAAAGAAAGAATAAGAATTAAACTAAGAGTGGGTTCCCTGTTTTATATTGAATGGTCAATTATTATGCTGATCCCTAGGAATGAAAAAAAATAATCATAGAATCATAGAGTTGGAAGGTACCTCAAGTGTCATCTAGTCCAACCCCCTGCACAATGCAGGAAATTCACAAATACCTCCCCCTCCACACACCCAGTGATCCCTGTTCCATGCCCAAAAGATAACAAAAAATCCCTGTCCAAAGTGGCCTGGAGAAAATTTGCTTCCTGACCCCAGCGTGGTGATCAGCATTTCCCTGAGTGTGTAAAAAAGAGCCACGAGAACTAAGCACTGAGGCAACCCTTCCTGCCCTCCCTCTCTGCCTAAGTTCACACAATCAGCATTGCTGTCAGACAGCCATCTAGCCTATTAAAAAACCTCCAAAGAAGGAGAGCCCACCACCTCCCGAGGAACCACTCTGTCAGGAAGTTCTTTCTAATGTTTAGCCAAAAACTCTTCTGATTTAATTTCGACTAGTTGGTTTTGGTCCAATCTTCTGCGGCAACAGAAAACAACTCCCTACCATCCTCTGTATGACAGCCCTTCAAGTACTTGAAGATGGTTATCATATCACCTCTCAGTCGTCTCCTCTCCAGGCTAAACATATCCAGCTCCTTCAATCTTTCCTCATAGGACTTGGTCTCCAGACCCCTCACCATCTTCGTTGCCCTCCTCTGGACATGTTCCAGCTTGTCTATATCCTTCTTAAATTGTGGTGCCCGAAACTGAATACAATACTCTGGGTGAGGTCTAACCATAACAGAGTAAAGCGATACCATCACTTTGCGTGATCTGAACACTATACTGTTGATACAGCCCAAAATGGCGCTTGCCTTTTTAGCTATGGCATCACACTGCTGACTCATGTTCAGTGTATGGTCCACTAAGACCCTTAGAACCTTTTCACACATACTACTACCAAGACAAGTCTCCCCCATCCTATAATTATGCATTTGACTTTTCCTACCTAAATACAGAACTTCACATTTATCCCCATTGAAATTCATTTCAGTGCAGAGTGCTAAAACGGCTTGACAGTTATCACCAATAAAAAATTAAATGCAAAGCATCCACACACCAGGTACCTACTGGAATCTCACCAGCTGCTGCAGACGAACACATGCATCCCCTATAAGACTTAGAAAAAGATCGCACAAAGATCTGCTCTAGGCATTTTTTGGTTTTGTTTTCATTTCATAGATTTCCTCCCCTCTATGCTGCATCACTGATGGGCTTCATTCTGGTGCTTTTCTTAGTCCACGTTCTGCTTTTTACAAAACTTGGGAGCATGCCCAGAGGAGGGGAGAGGAGAAGCTTAGGATATTTTTCATTACTCAGAAGTAGCTGTATTTAAAGAAAAGAGCTGGCAACCCTGGATCAAACCATGTCTTTCTTCCATAACTGTGGTGACAATGGTTTGACAGCCCTTCCGTGAGTGTGGAAACCTGAGAGATGGTTCACATACTACTTTCAGAACACTCCTCTGAGCAGAAGGAAGTGGCTACTTGCGTAGGAGCATCATGGATTGTGTTCATGAGTCTGCTACAGACTCCAGAGTGAGAAAGTGTCCCTTCCAGCTTATGAGAGATCACATCTTGAGATCCAAGAGCTGTCAGAATACACACTAGAGCGCTCAGGTAAGAAAGTGAACCACATCCATGCATGAAAACAGGTTTCTCCAGGGAATGTGGGAAATGGTTCTGACCCATTTCTTGAATTTCTCTCTTGATCTTCAGTGTTTTTAGGAACTGTTCAGAGGCAATGATTAACATCAGTACAGAAGAAAGGTCTGAACCGCCTGGGAGTTGGATTTTTCAAGAACTGCTTACTCTTGTACAAGCATTGGTTAAGATCTTCTGCAGGCGCCTTGCTCTGTGAGTTCCTATCTTCAGAGGGCACTAGAAATCGAGTCTTTTTTCAACCTTCACGCCTCTGCTTCAGAATTCCTTCCCTACCATCATTTACTTGGTACCTACCTTTGTTGTCAACTGCCCTGAGCTCTGTGAATTCTGAGAAGGGCAGTATATAAATCCAAATTATAAATAAATACCTTGCATAGCTTTCAGCATCAAGAGATTTTTTTTCCCTTTTCCCCTTTTAGATGATTTCTCTCCCCCCCCCCAACTCCTTTTGCTGCCCCAATTGTTTAGTTTTGCCACTCTCTTGTATTTGGTACAGGATTTTATTGCTGCTTCTAAAAGATATTGTAAGATAAGTACTGTTTGTTTTATTGTCGGTTTGTCCGATGAATTCTTGGATTGCTGATTGACTTTGGAAGCTCCTTTGGAAACCTCTGGCCGACAGCTGTGGGACAGTCTGAAGTGGCGCAGACAGAAAAGGGTTGCATTGCGATGATCGCTTTCTCCAAATGAGATAGTAAGTTCATTGCTGGAAGAGCCACTTAAACTGGAGGAAGGCTTCTTAAAGTAGGATGCTGCCCATCCTGCTGCAGTGCCTTCCACGTCCATTCTGAACCAGCTGAGATTTCACACTGCAAACCACGTGTGGAAATTATGGCATTTCAATGGGATGGACCCAGGTTTGCATGAACGAGAAGGAACTTCCAGAAGGGAATTTAGCTGCCATCTCTTCCTCCTGCAGCCTCCTGCAGCCCCACAGAAAACTGCTCCTGAAGGGCGGGAGATCTGCAGGAACCACGTGGATGTGGTGTCAAGATGCTGCAGTGGGAATAACTAATGGCTGGCAACAGTCCCATTTGCAACACTATGGCACCATTCATTCACAGATTCTTTTCTTCTAGTGCAGTCTCTCTTGCCATTGTCCACAGTTCATGAGGGACCCCTTCAACTTTTGGAAGTGGCTTCTTCAGGGGCAGATTCAGGTGGGTAGCCATGTTGGTCTGAAGCAGCAGAAAATTTTTTGAGTCCAGTGGCATCTTTAAGACCAACAAAGTTTTAGTCAAGGTATAAGTTTCGTTTGCATGCACGCTTCTTCAGATACAATGAAATGGAGATTACCAGTTTATACATATAGGTAGAGGGTGAGAAGTAAATTAGCATACAGCTTAATGAAGATGTTTAACAGATTCAAGAACCAAACAGGAATAACAGTCTTAGTTTATATGGTTACCATTTGTTTGGGTTTAATTCTGGGGGGAAACATACTGAAGGAAATAAATATGTCAAGTAGAGGTAAGCAAAAAAATCCCCCCCAATTCGAATCTATTGGACCCAAGAAATATCCGTATGCCCGAATATTCCCAAATACCAATATCAGTATTGTATTGATAATCAGGTAAATATTCAGGAAACCCAAATTTATTCGGCTCCATTATACCCTATGGGGACATTATACCCTATGTGGCAGTATTTGGCTCCATTATACCCTATAGGGACATTATACCCGATGTGGCGGCATGACTCAGCAAGTTCAGAAGGCATTTAAACTTTAAATGCATTCAGTTCATTCGCCGAATTGTGCCACCGCGACCGCACGACTTGGCGAGTGAACTCAGAAGGCATTTAAAGAGACTGTGGTCTCTTTAAATGCCTTCTAGTCACACCCAGAACAAAAGCCGAATAACATTGGCCAAATCAAATTGTCTATCCTGTATTCAGCTGGATAAATACCTTAAAAATTACAGATAGGGTATTTTTTTAGTATTTATTCGGCTTGGTATATATCGAACGCATACCCCTATGTCAAGATTGGAGACTGATGTACAGATGTATCCTTAACTGTGGAATGCTTAAGGTAATTAACTGAGACCCTCAGCTCTCAAGCATGGAGGCAGCTTTGCAGCATCTTCTTCTTTGCAGTGGGGCGATTGGTTGTGTAGCGTTATCTCCCCTGTCCCCAGACAAGAGAAATACATAACAAAGAACACTACATTCTACTATTCATTACATTACATTGCAATCTACTACTCTAATCTATTATTCCAAATAAGAAATAAAACAAAGAGGGCATATAGCCCTTCTGGGGGATTGGTGAGAATACAGATGTAAGGGCTGAATGAGGTTAGCATATGTAGTGAAATAAGAAATCGATATCCCTGTTAAGTCCTGGGGATGCCATTGTTCTGAGTGTTGCAATAACTTGCAACTTCAGCAATTTCCAATCTAGTCTGTTCCTGAAGTTCCTTTGCAATAAAACCGCTGCTCACCCTCTACCTATATGTATAAATTAGTAATTTCCATTTCATTGTAGCTGAAGAAGTGTGCATGCACACAAAAGCTTATACCTTGAATAAAACTTTGTCGGTCTTAAAGGTACCACTGGACTCAAACTTTGTTTTTCAGGGGCAGTATAGGAGGCTGAAGGAAGAAGGCAGCTAAGATTCTTTACAATACCTGCCATCTGCTTGCAGAAATCAACCCAGTAATTTTCAGCACAGAGCTGTTATTAAATAGCACAGCTATCCTCCTCTAGCAGAAAATATTTTAAAAGAAAAAAACCAACATACTGTTAAATCTTTACATAGGAAAGCATTTTCTTTTGGGACCTTCTGCGTTTTCCCTGGGCCAAGGTTTCTGCTGATGCACTGTGAAAAGACAACAACATGGGGTGCGTTTTAAATTCAGCATTATCGAAGGAAGGGGAGAACGCCTTATTAATTGTTTTAAGCCAGAAGGCCATAAAAATAAGAGACAAAGATGGAGCTGATGGGTGCCAACAAAAACGGCACAGAACACTAAAGGGGAAAAAATTAACGCTTGTACAGAACTCTCTCTACCACACTACAACACAATCCTTTGGAGAAAACTGGCAGTTCTCACATTCACTGAGCCACCTTCTTTGAAGCTAATGGGATGGATCCAATGCGGTGCCAGCAGAAAGGGCAGAGGTGGATCTTCTCCACTTTCCGCTACATCAAGGTTGCCAGCTGTAAGCCTCAAAAATAGTAAAAGGTCTCACCAGGGGACCTCAAGGAGGACACGTGTATATGAAAAGAAACCACAACGTGAGCAAAGGCACTCAGGAACAGAAAGCAAGTGGCATTCCCCCTCTGATTCTTCCATTAATGGAACCACTAGTGCCAATGGAAGTGCCACTGGCAGAACAAACTGGAGGGCAATTTTGCCCCCTTCCGCCTCCTTAGGGCCAGATGCTCATGTTGGGCAGTGTTACATCCAAATGGGTCTGCTGATCCTTAGCATCATCTTTTTGAGGCTCACTGGTGACTGCTGGGGGAAGGGAGAGGCAGGAAAAATCCATTTCCACCATCACCTTGCAGTGGCAGCACATAGCAAATGACCAAAATATCCTTTTCAACTATAAATCAATAGGTTGTGAAGACCAATAAGATATATTTCTTTAGAATCTGTTCAAATGGTATTCCTCTGGTGCGTTTATACTGAGATGATGAAAACAGATAATGCAAAGCTCCTTCACTGCCCCCCCCCCCCCCCGTATAACCAGTACAAATGGCTGGATTCAGCAACTCATTTCCACTAAGTGATGGATCCTCTTTCAATGGAAGGATGTTGCCTCCACTGAAGGAATATTCTCCCTTACTGGAAGAGTGCGACTGGACCCCATCCAAAGGGAGTTCAGATATAGCATCCGTTTAGCAAAATTTTTGGACAATCCATATGAGGATCTCTTTGCACCTATAATAACTGAGAGCCAATGTGGTAGAATGGTTGAGCAGCAGACTAATCTGGAGAACCAGGTTTCATTCCTCACTCCTCTACATGAGGCCTGCTGGGTGACCTTGGGCCAGTCACAGTTCTCTCAGAACTCTCTGAGCCCCACTTACCGCACAGGGTGCCTATTGTGGGGAGGGGAAGAGAATGTGATTATAAGCTGCTTTGAGACTTCTTGAGGAGGAGAAAAGTGGAGTATAAAAACCTACTTTTCTTCTTCTTCCTCCACTGTTATAACTCTAAGAACTCTGTGTTGGTTGCACAAACAAGAGTCCAGCAGTAGCCAGAATCACATTTATTCCAGAATAAGCTTTTGTGAGGCAGACCTCACCTCCTCAGCTGCATGAAGCATATGTCTCTAGGTGTTATTTATACTTACCCATTAGCTTATAACTCTAAAACACTGCTACAGACATACAGTCCCTGCGTCTGAGGAAGTGAACTTCTCTGACTCACAAAAGTTCATTTGGAAAAAATTATTAGTCTTTAAGTCTTTGGACTCCTGTTTCATCTCCCCCTTCTGAGGGGTTGCTCACTGGCTCTCACCTGACCGTACATTCACCACAATAATTTCACTCCGTGGACAATCCTGAGTTATGGCCCCTGCTGACATCTCATCAGTGCTGTCCACACAGCGTGGAGAAGGCCATAGTGCACCACAGACAGGAAAACTCTGATGTCAGCTGTGGGTGGGATCAAGTAACCCTCCATTACATTTTGCGGGGTTTTTTTGGGGGGGGGGCGGGCTTTTTGTAGCAGGTAATGCACCTGCACTTACAAGCCTGCATGATACGCAGCAAATATCAGAACAGGACACACCTAACACTTCTAAGTCATATGTAGATTCTAAGACATATAGCGACAATTAATAGAGAAACAAGTAAGACCACAAGCACCTGTTTTTAATTAGAATACCAGAGGCTGAAAAAGTTGAAGGTGTTTTCTCTCATTCTAACATTTACTGCACACTGTGCCAGGCTTAGAACATAAGAGAAGCCATGCTGGATCAGGCCAATGGCCCATCCAGTCCAACATTCTGTGTCACACAGTGGCCAAAACTGTTGGTAGAGTATAGATACGCAGTCAAGCGGGGCACAAGCTGTTTAAAGAATAAGGTCGATTTATTAAGAAGAGAACAAACTTTGTTAGAAAGTGGAGAGAGAAACCCAGGAGCCATCAGGAGGTCCACCAGCAGGGCCAGAACTCCAGAAGTCCTCCCACTGTTGTCCCCCAAGCACCAAGAACACAGAGAATCACTGCCCCAGACATAGTGTTGCATCTATACCTTGTGGCTAATAGTTATTGATGGACCTCTGCTCCATATGTTTATCCAATCCCCTCTTGAAGGTGTCTATGCTTGTAGCCACCACCACTTCCTATGGCAGTGAATTCCATGTGTTAATTATTCTTTGGGTGAGGAAGGACTTCCTTTTATCTGTTCTAGGCTTGTGGGTGGGCATGCATAGCCTGCTACTACAACAACATTAAACAGGGGGTGGGGGGGCATTGCCTAATCCGGCCACAAAGAAAACGAAGTAGTTTAGGGTCACAGTCATCAAGATCTGTCACCTGAATTCATTTGAAGAAGCCTGACCTTTAAGTGCAAAGGTTTGACATGACCATCTAAATCTCAAGCTCCATTACCTTGACGATTTCACTCAGCGTCTGTATCGATTCATCCACCGCAACCAGGTAATGAACTCTTGGCCTGTGGTCCGCTATATTCTGTAACACTCTGCAGTGAGGCAAACGAGAGAGATGACACAGGGCATCTGACACAGAGTCTTCAGCATGATTTATGTATGATGATTAAGCAGCCGGAATGACTGTAAAGAGCCAAAGCAGATATGGCATCGGGAGTTCCAGTGAGCAGAGCTCCCAACAGAGACCCAGGACTCTGCTTTCGGACTGGACTGTGGCACAAGGGAAGAGCCTTCTCTTCCCCATGCTGTTTTCACAGTCTGAAACAGCCCCTTGGGACTATTTGTCCTATTTACCCATTACCAAGATGAGGACCTGTATTTTTGTCCCAACAGGGCAAACAGCAGCTTTGCAGAGCCATTTCCAGCCAGAAAAATGGCACTGAGAGGAGAGGCTTAAGTACTTTCCCCTGGCATTGTGGATCCAATCCAAATCAGGCCCACACACACCTGCTAGTTAAAGAAAAAAATAAGAGCTTATTGCTGGGAGTCTGGAGACTCAGGTCAAATCCTCATTTTGCCATGGAAGCTAAGCTTGCTGAGTGGCCTTGGGCCATCCCTCTCTCTTTCTCAGCCTAACCTACCTCACAGAGTTGTAGTGAAGATAAAATGAAGGAAACTTGCTGTGTGACCTTGGGACAGTCACATTCTCTCTCTCTATCTCTCTCCTCCCGCTCAGCCTAACCTACCTCACAGAGTTGTTGTGAGGGTAAAATGAAGGAGGGAATAACAATGTTGTAAGCCACTTTGAAAAGCAGAGTATAACTACCTCAATGAAAGCATTCATAGAACTCCCAGATACATTTCGGGTTTGGCCCTTAGATTACAAAAAGTAAACAATCTCTAAAAATGGCGCCCATGAGGAAGGATGAGAAGGAAAAACAAGTTAAACCAAAACTTCCTGTCGGACCTGCTGGACCAGTGAGTCCTGCACCTAGACAGGACACAACTGCAGAGCTACAAAAGATGCTAACGGAAGCATTGCAACCCCTGCTGGAACAAATAACAGCATTGCATGGCAAATTTGATGCACAGCAACTGCAACTGGCTGAGATAGCCAAAAAAACAGACAAAACTGAAAAAGAAGTAAAAGAAGTGGATGCCAACACCAAAAAATTGGGGGGGGGGGAACTGCAGGTGATCGAAAAAAAGAGTTTGATGGAAGAGTCTCAATTGTTACAGCTACAAATGGAGAGAGCAAGCTATGTCTTAAGGTTTCAAGGTGTTCCTGAAGACAAGACTGAGAATCTGAAACAGATTATGTGTGATGCATTAGGCACTTTGGCAAATATAAAAGTGGATACATTACAAAGCGAAATAGATATGATCTATAGATCTTATCCAGAATTTATAAGAAAAAATAATCTGCCGGGGGAAGTGATTGTGAGATTCTCGAGAAGACAAGTGAGAGACCAAATTCTCAAAGCGACAAGTGGATTCTCGAGAAGACAAGTGAGAGACCAAATTCTCAAAGCGACAAGTGGATCTGCCTTGAAAATCAAAGACAAAGAAATAAGAGTGTTAAAGGACATACCATTTGAAATAAGAAGGAGGAGGAGGAAATATAGAGACCTAGTACTATTCCTACAAAAGAAAAGCATTCCCTACAGATGGATGACACCCGAAGGCACAATCTTCAAATTCATGGATAAGAAAGAAAAAATTGACTCTGTTGAAAAGGCACAAGAATTTTTGCATCTACACAGTCGTCCACCAGGGCAGAAAGAACCCGAGAAAGAAGACAGCACCAATGAAAGCGAAGAAGAAAGAGCAGCGACAGAATCAGACGAGGATCCGGACTCTAAGT